CCCTCCTCAAAAAAAAACTACACTTCCTCGGCCTCAGAGATTCTGCTCTCTCTCCTGGCTCTCATCCTACCTATCACAACGCTCTTTCAGCGTTACTTATAACGCTACCAACTCCCCCTCACTCCCCCTCTCTGTTGGGGTCCCTCAAGGCTCCGTCCTCGGGCCCTTTCTCTTTCTCCATCTACACCTCCTCCCTTGGCCAACTCATACACTCTCACGGCTTCAGCTACCACCTCTATGCTGACGACACACAAATCTATCTCTCAACCCCTCGCCTCACCCCCTCGGTCTCTGCCCGAATCAAAAACCTACTGAACACATATCAGACTGGATGTTGCTCCACTTCCTTAAACTGAACCTCTCCAAAACCGAGCTCCTAGTCTTCTCCCCAGCCCGCACACCACCCCCCATTGACTTCTCCATCACGTCCAACAATGCCACTATCAGGCCCACCCCACAGGCCAGAGTACTTGGTGTCATTCTGGACTGCAACCTATCCTTCCAGCCCCAAGTCCAATCACTAACAAACTCATGCAGACTCCACCTCCGCAACATCGCCAAAATCTGCACGTTCCTAACCCCAGAAACCACTAAAGGGACAGCTCATCCACTCCCTCCACTCATATCACGACATTTCATGGGGGACTTGCAACCCCTCGAGACCAGGTCCTCTACTGGCCTGCCCAGCCACAGGCCAGATAGGAGGTCGGGTGACCCCGCTTCAGTCGATCCTGTAAGGACGGTAAGGTACAAGGCAGCCAGAGAATCTCATCACACGCCAGGTCACAGGAGGTCAACCTAATAAGGGGCTCCAGGAGAGAGGTCAGCAAGCACCCCAGCAAGGTCAAAGGCAATGGGTCAATAACTTACCTAGGCACAGGTGGCACAGATTAAGACCAGCAGGCAACGAAATGACAGCTCAGGGACCTTTAAAATCCTGCGCTGCCAACACTGACACTGCGCATGCGCGAGCTCGAACGCCGCGGCCGGCCCGGACCTAAGTGCTGTCCAGTGCCCTGCGCCGGGACCATCGCGGCAGGGATCGAGGAGATCCCTGACAACTAAACACTCATCCACTCCCTCATCATATCACGACTTGATTACCTAATCCCTCCTCACTGGCCTGCCTCGCCAAGCTACCCTGAATACCCAGACTCATTCACCTTACCAACCTCTCCGTTTCTGCCACACTCCTCTGCCCAAGACCCTCTTCCCGCAAGGATCAAATTCAAAATCCTAACACTCATACAAAGCTGTCCACCATACTGCCCCAAATTACATCACCGACCTAATATCCAAGTACCCACCCAGCACGCACACTCCGCCCTCGCAAGACTCCTTCTCTCTAGCTCCCTGGTCTCCTCCTCCCATGCCCGCCTCCAGGACTTCTCCAGGGTGTCACCCATCCTCTGGAACTCCCTGCCCCAACCTATCAGACTATCACCTACTCTCCTCTCCCTTAGACGCACCCTGAAAACCCACCTTCTTCAAAGAAGCCTACCCCACCCCCTGCTAATTTGCTGACCTCCTCCACTCTTCCTACCACTCCATCCCCCAGAGCTATCTCCTCCTGTACCACTATCCCCTCCCTCCTAGATTGTAAGCTCCAAGGAGCAGGGCCCTCGAACCCCTCGTGTATCGCATCGTATTGTTACTGTACTGTCGCATGTTCTGTCCCCCTTTGTAATGTACAGCACTGAGTGAACTGTTGGCGCTTTATAAATACTGTATAATAATAATAACAAAAAAGTGATTTGCCTAAAAGGGGCTCCAAAAATGTCTCTTTTATGTAAAGAGGAAGGCGGTTCCTTTAAGGGATTCTTAGGACTAAACGTCCTGTTTTGCATATAGTAATGTTTATGAAATAAAAAAATCAGTATTCACCTATAAAAGCCCAAAAACTTTATATATAAGAGTACTGCAATTCCCAATTGAGGCACGAGGTATAATAATTCCGTATCACTTTAAATAGCAAGATATGACTTAGCTCTATTCAAGGGTTACTTGCCACCGGTGGAAGTCAACTAATGCCACTTGAATTTGCAATGAACTCACGGGAGTCATAGATACTTGTGGTTTTCAGTCTTGCCTCGTATTTGTCCAAGATGGAGGCGCATGGCTTGCCTCTTTGCCCTCGTGGACATCGCAGCATGGAAGGATGCAGAGCGTGATGATGTCACTACGTTGGCGCGTTTCGTCCGCCAATCATCGTGGACTTCGTCAGAACTTTTACATGCAACTAGTCATCACCTTGAAAGATTGAAAGGTATTCCAGTTGGTCAATTCCTTAGGATTAAAAGGAACTGTACAGATGAAATTCAATTTCAAATAGAAGTGGCACAACTCTACCAAAGATTTAGAGAAAGAGGCTATTCACATAGAACCTTGAGAAAAGCAAAATACAAGGCTTCACGAAAAGCTAGAAAGGAAATGATTACCAGTACTAATACTAAATCGAATATTAAAAAAAAAAAACAAAATGAACCAGTATGGTTCATAATTAAATATGGACAACAATGGAAAGAAGTTAAGAAAGTATTAGATTCACACTGGCACTTACTAACCATGAATCTTGAATGATATATTGGTACAATCAGAATTTAAAAAGATTCCGAAAGGAAACTGGTTAACAAAAATGGGTAAGACCACAGGAATGTAGCTGTGTGGTCCAGGGGCGGACTGACAATTTGTAAACTCGGGCACTGCCCGAGGGCCTGGGGTCAGTAGGGGGCCCCATGAGATGCCCCTGGTACCTTTTTCATAGGCTTTTTTGAGTTTGGGCAAGGACACAGGGGCCCCATGATCCCCTATTGCCCGGGGGCCCCATGAGTTGTCAGTCCGCCCCTGGTGTGGTCATTGCCAGATCTGTCCCTATGTACACAAAACTAACAAATTCCACAATGTAGATGATTCTAAAACCTATGAAATTAAGAATTTTATAAATTGCTCTAGCAGTAGAGTCATTTATATGTTAGAATGCCCACGTAAGAAATTCTATATAGGAAAAACAAAAAAAGAGACCATTAAAAATACATATTAGTGAACACATAAGGGATATTAAAAATGAATATAAAAACAAAAATGATAAAGAAAGAGAAAACCCCTTAGCCCAACATTTTAAAGAAGTACACCAAGGTAAAATTGATGGTCTAAAAGTAAAAGGTATTTTCCTTTTAAATATTTCTTCTAGAAGAGGAGACTTTGATAAAATTCTTCTACAAAAGGAGAAATTTTGGATTTACACACTGGGAACCCTAATACCATATGGTCTAAACACTGAATTACATTTTAAAATATTTTTGAAATAAATCCCTATACGATCATTTCATTGTGAATATTTTCTTACTTTATTATTGTCATCTGATGTAATTCAATTATTAATAATACTATCTGAACCTCAATCTACTGTGTGGGCCATTCTCTGTTTAATGCCAATCATATTTGTTTTATAATTAAATTTAGCCTAACAATGTAGTGATGACATTTCAACACGAGGGCTACAAAACAATGGAAATATGCAACTTTTGCACTATAAAAGGAACAAGATGAATTATCCCCTCCCAGTTCTGAGGAAGTTCACGATGATTGGCTGACGAAACGAGTCAACGTAGTGACATCATCATGCTCTGCATCCTTCCATGCTGCAATGTCCATGAGGGGAAAGAGGCAAGCCATGCGCCTCCATCTTGGACAAACACGAGGCAAGACTGAAAACCACAAGTATCTATGACTCCCGTGAGTTCATTGCAAATTCAAGTGGCATTAGTTCACTTCCACCGGTGGCAAGTAAACCTTGAATAGAGCTAAGTCATATCTTGCTATTTAAAGTGACACAGGATTACAGTATTATACCTCGTGCCTCAATTGGGATTCCAGTACTTTTATATATAGAGAAATTTTATGGCCTTTTATAGATGAATACTGATTTTTTATTTCATAAACATTACTATATGCAAAACAGGATGTTTAGTCCTAAGAATCCCTTAAAGCAACCGCCTTGCTCTTACATAAAAGAGAATTTTCGGAGACCTTTTTAGGCAAATCACTTGAATGTTTAGTGCTTTAATGCACAATGAAGATATCTCTACTATAATCCTACAATTTTTGGTATAAAGGAGAACACATCTCTCATCACCACAGAGGTTTTACACAGATATATATCTTACCAGTGGAAACACTATGGTCTCTATTAGGGTAATTATTTTCTTCATTTGGAAGTGACCGTAATTTTCATGTGAATTTGATACAATAACATTTGTTTGTTTATTTTAGAACCATAACTACTGCTATCCACTGAAAATATTTTATTTAAGAAATATCAGCCGATTGAAATTGGCCATACACTGTGAATCTACCTTAATCAATCCATGTGATGATGATGATCCACTAAGAAGAAAATTAATAATTCCATTCCATGCCTCTATCAGTGGCCATATGATTCTATTATAGGATTATTCTTGAAACTGCAAGTTCATGAGAGGCGTTTAGCAAAATTCAAGGACTTTTTGTATTCATTGCACATTTATTCTTCAGGCATCCTACTATTCATACTTCCATCACCACACTTTGATGAATTTGAAGTAATTACTTTGATACCTCTAAAGATAGAAGATACGGATTAAGAATACGGAAGATATATTCATACCTGGTTCCACAAATGGACTTTCCACAATGAATACAGAAGCAGTCTTTGCCAATTTTAATCTGGCTCTTTTTGCCATATATACAGCTAAGTAAAAACGCAGAACTTTTTTTGTTTTTATATTTTTTTGATTTTACTCTCATGATTGACAATGTGTTCACCATGATATAAATGTCTACCTTTTCATGATCCATGTGATCTTAATAAAAATAATTGCATCCACTATAATAGTGAATTATTACTCCACATGGGAATCATTATAATCAAATAATAAGGTATATGTGTAAACAGGGCCATACAAGAAATACTGTATTTTTCGCTCCATAAAACGCACTTTTTCCCCCCCAAAAAGGGGGAAAATGTCAGTGCATCTTATGGAGCGAATATGGAGCTGCCGGTCCGTTATTTCCGCCGCCATGTCAGAATACAGGGCCGGCTGCTCAGCTCTTCTCTGCAGCAGGACCTTACCTGTTCCTCGGTCCAACGCTGTAGTCTTCCCGCGCCGGCATCTTTAGTGTGGACAGCCGGGTGTCCACTGCGCATGCGCAAGAAGCGCTGCGCTTTGTAAATGGTCCGGCGTCTTCTGGGACACATGACAGGTCCCGCACTAAAGGGAGGACAACTCCGCAGAAGTGGGAGCGGGTACCTGTCAAATTCAGGTACTCGCTCTCCCTCGCTCCCCAAAGACCCGCAGTCTCTTGGTCATCCCCTGTACTGTCTGCAGTCTCTGGTCATCCCCTGTACTGTCTGCAGTCTCTTGGTCATCCCCTGTACTGTCTGCAGTCTCTGGTCATCCCTGCACTGTCTGCAGTCTCTGGTCATCTCCTGTACTATATCCGCAGTCTCTGGTCATCTCCTGTACTATGTCCGCAGTCTCTGGTCATCTCCTGTACTATGTCCACAGTCTCTGGTCATCTCCTGTACTATGTCCGCAGTCTCTGGTCATCCCCTATACTGTCTGCAGTCTCTGGTCATCTCCTGTACTATATCCGCAGTCTCTGGTCATCATCTCCTGTACTATGTCCGCAGTCTCTGGTCATCCCCTGTACTGTCTGCAGTCTCTGGTCATCTCCTGTACTGTGTCCGCAGTCTCTGGTCATCTCCTGTACTGTATCTGCGTCTCTGGTCATCTCCTGTACTGTGTCCGCAGTCTCTGGTCATCTCCTGTACTGTGCCCGCAGTCTCTGGTCATCTCCTGTACTGTATCCACAGTCTCTGGTCATCTCCTGTACTATGTCCGCAGTCTCTGGTCATCTCCTGTACTATGTCCGCAGTCTCTGGTCATCTCCTGTACTGTCTGCAGTTTCTGGTCATCTCCTGTACTATGTCCGCAGTCTCTGGTCATCTCCTGTACTGTGTCTGCAGTCTCTGGTCATCCCCTGTACTGTGTCCGCAGTCTCTGGTCATCTCCTGTACTGTGCCCGCAGTCTCTGCTCATCTCCTGTACTGTATCCACAGTCTCTGCTCATCTCCTGTACTATGTATCCACAGTCTCTGGTCATCTCCTGTACTATGTCCGCAGTCTCTGGTCATCTCCTGTACTGTGACCGCAGTCTCTGGTCATCTCCTGTACTGTATCCACAGTCTCTGGTCATCTCCTGTACTATGTCCGCAGTCTCTGGTCATCTCCTGTACTATGTCCGCAGTCTCTGGTCATCTCCTGTACTGTCTGCAGTTTCTGGTCATCTCCTGTACTATGTCCGCAGTCTCTGGTCATCTCCTGTACTATGTCTACAGTCTCTGGTCTCTCTAAAACCTAGGCACGTCTTATGGTCAGGTGCGTCTTATGGAGCGAAAAATACGGTAATAAAGTGCCAAAAACAAGCAGCAGTTCCAATTTCTACTTTGCTAACAGTTCTTTCCTCAAGCACAGGACAGTAAACAGTTAACAAGTCTGTGAAGCTCCTAGCCTGCCCAGCCTAAATCCCGGAGTTCTGACACAGAACTCTGGCACAAATAGCTCTATAGAAAAAGCTGAAGATGGTCACTAGCATGTCACACACTCACATGTAATGGCGGCTGCAGTGTCTTCCAGAAGTCTAGTCATCATCATCATCAGTGTGTTCACCCATCAGTGTGCTCACCCATCAATGTGCTCACCCCTGCCCGCCACACCGATCCCTCTGCTGTCTGGGCCCCCCTGTATGCCGGGCCCCCTACAGGAGGACCGAAGGTACCCCCCTTATTGGCGGCCCTGGTTGTCACCCTGCAGGGAAAGGGCCAAGGCCTTACAGCTCCACCAGGTATTTACAAGAATCAGGTGTTTTTTCTGATAAAATGCTGCTGCTTCTGGATGCACTGGCAGTGGGTTTTGTTTCCTGCCTCTAAACTATCCTGCCACTAAACACTGCTAAAAGTTTCTGTGTGCATGGAGACATAGGCTAACATGGTGCTTGAAAGCAGGAAAGAAACACATGATGCCTCTAAAAGCAGCTGGAAAAACTTCCTGTGTGCATGAGGCCTTATTTTGTTAAAGTGCTATTAATTCAATATTTCATTTGATTTTTCTTACAGGAGTGTTCTCCATACGCTGCTCATCTGTACGATGCTGAAGACCCACGAACCCCACTAAGGACCCTCCCTGGCCTGTGCTTCGATTACTGCTCCGATTTCTATTACAATTGCCAGAGCACCATCTCCCTTCTCACCAATAACTCTGCTATAAGAGAGTCAGCAAAGGACATGGACCTGTTTTGTAATCTCATGGAACTGCCTGATCCAGATTACTGTTTCCCAGATGTGATACAAAACATGGACCTCAACAACAGGCTTGGGGCGGTGGTGGAGGATCAGGAAGGATGTCTCAAGATGTGTTTATTGGAGGTGGCCAATGGCCTGAGAAATCCTGTCCTCATGATCCATGCTAATGATGGAACTCACAGGATGTTCATAGCGGAGCAGGTTGGATAGTTTGGGTCTACTTACCAGATGGTGGACGGTTAGATGTGCCCTTTCTATACTTGCAGGACAGTGTGGTGTCCAGCCCATGGCATGGAGATGAAAGAGGTTTCCTTGGCATGGCTTTCCACCCCCAATTCCGCTACAATGGCAAATTCTATGTTTACTATTCCATCTTGGATGATGAGTATGTGGAGAAAATCCGAATTAGTGAGTTCCGGGTTTCACGCTATGACATAAATAGAGCAGATCGGAAAACAGAAAGGTAAGCAGAATCAGATAAATATGAAAAAAAAGGAGAAATAAAAACATTTTAATGCTTTTTAGTAGGGTTGCGCCACTACAGATACCAGTATTGGTGCTGACACTAAGCATTTCCACGAGTATCAGTAAACTAAAACTGATACCTTCTCTATACTTTCAGCTGTCAGCGGGATTCTCTGCTGACAGCTGAAATGTAAATTTAAAAAAGCCACCAAAAACAAGAAAAATCCGGCACGTCCTTAACAATTGATGACTCATTTAGCTGTCGAAAAAAAAAAAAGCAGCCTGACAATGTTAATCAACAACATTACTCAGTTTAAAACAGAACGATCAAAAGAAACATTGTTTCATTTTGTATCTTTCTATTCATTCATCTACAGATCTAAGGTTCCCTTTCACACAAACGGGACCGATGGGGTCTGCCTGTCCGTTTTTTCAGGCAGACCTGATTGGTCCATCCATAGGCTTCTATGGACTGGTGGGTGTTAGCCAATCCTGTACGCTAAAAACAGATGGATGCGGATCCATTCCCCCATCCGTCCAGTGGATCAGATCAGATGACAATCGGGTGGAAACAGACAGGCGATCTGTTTCCATTCGACCGTCCCATTGAAATCAGCAGGCAGTGTCTGTGTCTGCTCTGCAGAGCAGAGCAGACAGAGACCTGTAATCAACCTGCTCAGCGGGGATCAGCGAAGAGATCTCCCCGTTGAGCACGTGGATCACGCTGACGGATCCGCCTCATCTGAAAGGGACCTTAAGGATGAACTGCGATCTGCAGATGAAGTCAGTTAAAAGCAACCTTTCAAGTAAAAACCTTTTTTTTTTAATAAATGTTCCTCTGTTTAATCCCTTATTAACCCCTAATGTACTCTAATCATCCCAAATTAACTCATTATTCTCCTTCTCCATTCAGTTATTATTTTCCTGTTGTTTTTTGTTCATTTCTATTTCATAAAACTATTAATAATTACAACTTTTTTTTTTGTTTTTGTTTGCTTTGTTCATTATTATTTTTTTTTTTTACACTTTAACATATATTTACACGTTTCACATTGAAAAAAGAGCAAATTTGAAAAAAAATTAATTTATTTAATTTGTAAATAACTTTCCAATGCTTTTACCAGAATCATAATTTTAGTGTTATTTTAAACAAGACAAATTACAGAATAAAATGTGTGCAACACTATCTATTTTTAAACTAGCACTGCTAAAAAAAGTGAATTTTTTTTAGTTTTGTTACATTTAATTGTCTAAGGATTGTGAAAAAATATAATTGTTGGAAGACAATATTCACTTGTTTTGTTTGTCTTTAAAAAAGCTATTTATATATTAAAATGTTATCTTAAATAATGGCAAACTTATCGCCAACTGAACAGGTCCATAGCAGAAATGTAAAAATTGCTCCATAACAGATGAACAGGTGTGAGTGCCAAAGTGGTTAAAGTGTGGAGCTGCTGTGTCACTGACAATCGATCACTCATTCAGCTGTCAGCGGGGTTCCTGCAAAACAGTTGCTGGCAGGTATCTGTGAGTACAAAAAAAAGTATCAGTGTTCTTACTTGCTCTAAAAAAAATGGTATCAGTGCATACTTTTTAAAACAGTCATACAGAAGAGAGAATCTTGATGTATGTAATTGTATCAATATGTGTTAATGTTGTAAAAATCTTTTTCTATATATGGTAAGCATAGAAACATAGAAAAATTGACGGCAGAAAAAGACCGAGTGGTCCATTGAGTCTGCCCGTTTTTTTTGTGTGTATGTGTTTCTATGTTGTTGTTTTTGTTGTTGTTTTTTTTTGTTTCTTTTTTTTGGGGGGGGGGGAGTTGTCTAAATATAGATCCATGCTTGTCCCAAGCATGTTTGAAGCTATTTACTGTTGGGTGGCTCACTACCTCTGCTGGAAGTTTATTCCAAGCATCAACTACTCTTTCAGTAAAATAGTACTTTCTGAGATTAGTTTTGAACTTTCCTCCAGTTAGTTTAAGGGCATGTCCCTGTGTTCTTGATTTTGATTTTGTGTTGAAAATACTGCCCTCCTGAACCTTATTCACCCTCTTGATGTATTTACTGGTTTGAGTCATGTCTCCCCCTTCCCTTCTTTTCTCTAGACTGTACATGTTAAGTTCCTGAAGTCCCTCTTGATATGTTTTATCCCTCAGAACTTTCACCATTTTTGTTACCTGTTTCTGGACTTGTTCTATCTTATCAATATCTTTTTGTAAGTGAGGTCTCCAGAACTGGACACAGTATTCTAAATGAGGTTTAACTAACTATCTATATAGAGGAATCAGGACCTCCTTCCTCCTGCTAGTGACCCCTCTAGTGATGCATCCCAGAATTCTATTCGCTTTCCTCACTGCCTGGTCACACTGTTTGCTCATTTTGCAATCATCTGAAATAAGTACCCCCAGGTCCTTTTCCTATGAGGTGCTGGCCAACACTCTACCTCAAATGTTGTACTCTCTCAAGGGATTCTTTTTCCCTGGGTGCATTATTTTACATTTACAAACATTGAAATGCAAATTCCATTTCATTTTTGACCAATCTTCCATCAATGCCAAATTATGTTCCATGGTACGGGCACCTCCAGGGATATCAACCCTATTACACACCTTTGTGTCATCAGCAAAAAGACATACCTTACCCAACAAACCTTTAGTTATATCACTTGCATATAGATTAAATAGAATAGGACCTCGTACAGAGCCTTGGGCACACCACTAGTGACTGGTCTCTGTTCCAAGTCAACCCCATTTACAACCACACTCTGGTATCTATCCTTAGCCAGCTGCATATCCACTGAACCACCCAAGGGCTAAGTCCTAGCTTGTACAACTTTTATATTAGATCATTACATGGAACTGTATCAAATGCCTTGCTGAATCAAGATATGCTATGTCCACAGCACCACCCTGGTCCAAAACATTGGTAATATAGTAAAAAAAAATCCAATCAGATTAGTCTGACATGATCTGCCCTCAGTAAAGCCATGTTGTTTTGGATCCAGCAAGTTGTGTGCTTTTAAGTGATCAATGATCCTTCTTTTTTTCAGGAGTGATTCCATTAACTTGACTACAACTGATGTTAAACTCACTGGCCTGTAATTGCCAGATTCATGGGGAACTCCTCCCGTCAGAAGTGATTGATTAAAAAGATCCATTAATGGTCCAAAAACTATACCTCAAAGTTCTCTTAGAACTCTGCGATGAATACCATCAGGGCCCATTGCTTTATTAATCTTTAACCAAGCCAGTTCCTCTGCTAACTCTGAAATCCTAAAAATGAACCATCATTACTAGAACCAATATGATTTCCCAACTTATTATAATTTATTTCTGAGAAGACTGAACAAAAGTAATTGTTTAAGTGGTTTTCTACATCCAGGACTCCCTTAACACAAGTGTTTGTGCGCAGTTTTCATTTTAGTGAAATATAAGGTAATGTATACACTCACTGGCCACTTTATTAGGTACACCTTGCTAGTACCGGGTTGGAACCCCTTTTGCCTTCAGAACTGCCTTAATTCTTCATTGCATAGATTCAACAATGTGTTGGAAAACATTCCTCAGAGATTTTGGTCAATATTGACATGATATCATCACGCAGTTGCTGCAGCTTTGTCAGCTGCCCATCCATGATGCGAATCTCACGTTCCACCACATCCCAAAGGTGCTCTATTGGATTGAGATCCGGAGACTATGGAGGCCATTGGAGCACAGTGAACCTATTGTCATGTTAAAGAATCCAGTTTGAGATGATTTGAGCTTTGTGAGATGGTGCATTAATCTTCTGGAAGTGACCATCAGAAGATGGGTACACTGTAGTCCTAAAAAGTTGGACATGATCAGCAACAATACTCAAGTAGGCCATGGCATTTGACCAATGCTCAGTTGGTACTAAGGAGCCCAAAGTATTCCAAGAAAATATCCCCCACACCATTATACTTCCACCAGCAGCCTGAACTATTGATACAAGGCAGTATGGATCCATGCTTTCATGTTGTTTACGCCAAATTCTGACCCTACCATATGAATGTAGCAGCTGAAACTGAGACTCATCAGACCAAGCAATGTTTTTCCATTTTTTTGCTGAGCATGTGCAAATTGTAGCCTTCTGCTTCCTGTTCTTAGCTGACAGGTGTGGCACGTGGTGTGGTCTTCTGCGCATATATATATATATATATATATATATATATATATTTATAACTTCTTTATAATGCTACAGACCACCAGAACAAAAAGATGGTTTCATGTTTCCTGAAGTTTGAAGAGCCTAAAGATTCCCCACCCCATCCCCAGCACCCCCTTTTCTCCTCTAGTTCTCTAGTGGTGGAAGTAATGGTGTCTGTTTTATAGATATTGATCAGACTAGAGATGAGCGAAGAAATGAAAAATCATCGATTCGACTGATTCGGCGAATTCGTGGACAATATTCGATTCGAGTCGAATAAAATTCGCTGTGAATTTAACTTAAAAAAGGGTGTTTCTAGGCTTCAGAGAGACTTAATATTAGTGCAGGTAACACTGTACCTTTAATTTAAATGCCCTTGGATTGTCTGCTGGGGAAGAATTTGTATAATACTGTCTGTCAGTATGACATGCAGATGAGTGCCGTCGATCTTAGAATCACTGCACACTTCACTCCTTTGGCCAGTCACGGGGCCAAAACCAGTGTTTGGAGCCACAGTGTGGCGGTGGAGGCTAGCAGCAAGATGGGAGGCCATACAGCAACCTATGACAAAATGGAAACCAGCAGGAGTCGTGAGGAGACCTGAAAGTGGCACATGGCAGAGAGATTTCAAAGTGGCACATGGCAGAGTGGAAGCAATGGGAGGCCGTACAGGGACCCAGGTCACACTGTGGGACCAGCATCAGCGTGAACAGGCGGTACGGGGGCCCATGGCCGATTTGACCTCATTCATCCCATAGTCCTGCCGACTCACGAATAGCGTGGCCTCCTCAAAGGGCCTGAGCAAGCGCAGGTGTCACACATGAGCTGACAATGGCTGACATCTAAGTTACACAGGGAGTACCTTTATCCGCTTTTAACATCAGGAAATCTGTGATGGCCTTTAGCTGTTCGTAAAGGCGGTCTAACATATGTAGGGTTGAATTACACCTTGTTGCAACGTCACAGCATGAGGAGTCGGTACGGGGGCCCATGGCAGATTACATGTCTGGCAGCAGCAATGGGAGGCCCGTAATCTGCCAGCACCCTATGTCAAAAAATTTAACACACCAGCAGTGTGAAGAGACCTGAAAGTGGCACATGGCAGCAGAGTGTGTGCGATGGAGACAGCAGCAATGGGAGGCGTACAGGGACCCATGAGAGACTCTGGACTTGGCAGCAGCATGAGGAGGCGGGTATATAGGGGCCCATGGCAGATTAGGGGCCTGGCAGCAGCTATGTGAGGCCCGTAATCTGCCTGCACCCTATGTCAAAAAATTTAACACACCAGCAGTGTGAAGAGACCTGAAAGTGGCACATGGCAGAGTGTGTGGCGATGGAGACAGCAGCAATGGGAGGCCGTACAGGGACCCATGAGAGACTCTGGACTGGCAGCAGCATGAGGAGGCGGTATATAGGGGCCCATGGCAGATTAGGGGCCTGGCAGCAGCTATGTGAGGCCCGTAATCTGCCTGCACCCTATGTCAAAAAATTAAACACACCAGCAGTGTGAAGAGACCTGAAAGTGGCACATGGCAGCAGAGTGTGGCGATGGAGACAGCAGCAATGGGAGGCCGTACAGGGACCCATGAGAGACTCTAGACTTGGCAGCAGCATGAGGAGGCGGTATATATAGGGGCCCATGGCAGATTAGGGGCCTGGCAGCAGCTATGTGAGGCCCGTAATCTGCCTGCACCCTATGTCAAAAAATTTTAAACACACCAGCAGTGTGTGAAGAGACCTGAAAGTGGCACATGGCAGCAGAGTGTGGCGATGGAGACAGCAGCAATGGGAGGCCGTACAGGGACCCATGAGAGACTCTGGACTTGGCAGGCAGCAGCATGAGGAGGCGGTATATAGGGGCCCATGGCAGATTAGGGGCCTGGCAGCAGCTATGTGAGGCCCGTAATCTGCCTGCACCCTATGTCAAAAAATTTAACACACCAGCAGTGTGAAGAGACCTGAAAGAAGTGGCACATGGCAGCAGAGTGTGGCGATGGAGACAGCAGCAATGGGAGGCCGTACAGGGACCCATGACAGACTCTAGGACTTGGGCAGCAGCATGAGGAGGCGGTATATAGGGGCCCATGGCAGATTAGGGGCCTGGCAGCAGCTATGTGAGGCCCGTAATCTGCCTGCACCCTATGTCAAAAAATTATTTAACACACCAGCAGTGTGAAGAGACCTGAAAGTGGCACATGGCAGCAGAGTGTGGCGATGGAGACAGAGCAATGGGAGGCCGTACAGGGACCCATGAGAGACTCTGGACTTGGCAGCAGCATGAGGAGGCGGTATATAGGGGCCCATGGCAGATTAGGGGCCTGGCAGCAGCTATGTGAGGCCCGTAATCTGCCTGCACCCTATGTCAAAAAATTTAAACACACCAGCAGTGTGTGAAGAGACCTGAAAGTGGCACATGGCAGCAGAGTGTGGCGATGGAGACAGCAGCAATGGGAGGCCGTACAGGGACCCATGAGAGACTCTGGACTTGGCAGCAGCATGAGGAGGCGGTATATAGGGGCCCATGGCAGATTAGGGGCCTGGCAGCAGCTATGTGAGGCCCGTAATCTGCCTGCACCCCCTATATGTCAAAAAATTTAAACACACCAGCAGTGTGAAGAGACCTGAAAGTGGCACATGGCAGCAGAGTGTGGCGATGGAGACAGCAGCAATGGGAGGCCGTACAGGGACCCATGAGAGACTCTGGACTTGGCAGCAGCATGAGGAGGCGGTATATAGGGGCCCATGGCAGATTAGGGGCCTGGCAGCAGCTATGTGAGGCCCGTAATCTGCCTGCACCCTATGTCAAAAAATTTAAACACACCAGCAGTGTGAAGAGACCTGAAAGTGGCACATGGCAAGAGTGTGGCGATGGAGACAGCAGCAATGGGAGGCCGTACAGGGACCCATGAGAGACTCTGGACTTGGCAGCAGCATGATGAGGAGGCGGTATATAGGGGCCCATGGCAGATTAGGGGCCTGGCAGCAGCTATGTGAGGCCCGTAATCTGCCTGCACCCTATGTCAAAAAATTTAACACACCAGCAGTGTGAAGAGACCTGAAAGTGGCACATGGCAGCAGAGTGTGGCGATGGAGACAGCAGCAATGGGAGGCCGTACAGGGACCCATGACAGACTCTGGACTTGGCAGCAGCATGAGGAGGCGGGGCTATATATAGGGGCCCATGGCAGATTAGGGGCCTGGCAGCAGCTATGTGAGGCCCGTAATCTGCCTGCACCCTATGTCAAAAAATGCACCCTATGTCAAAAAATTGTAAACACACCAGCAGTGTGATGGCACATGGCAGCAGAGTGTGGCGATGGAGACAGCAGCAATGGGAGGCCGTACAGGGACCCATGAGAGACTCTGGACTTGGCAGCAGCATGAGGAGGGCTGGGGGTATATAGGGGCCCATGGCAGATTAGGGGCCTGGCAGCAGCTATGTGAGGCCCGTAATCTGCCTGCACCCTATGTCAAAAAATTTAAACACACACCAGCAGTGTGAAGAGACCTGAAAGTGGCACATGGCAGCAGAGTGTGGCGATGGAGACAGCAGCAATGGGAGGCCGTACAGGGACCCATGAGAGACTCTAGACTTGGCAGCAGCATGAGGAGGGCGGTATATAGGGGCCCATGGCAGATTAGGGGCCTGGCAGCAGCTATGTGAGGCCCGTAATCTGCCTGCACCCTATGTCAAAAAATTTAACACACCAGCAGTGTGAAGAGACCTGAAAGTGGCACATGAGAGACTCTGGACTTGGCAGCAGCATGAGGAGGGCGGTATATAGGGGCCCATGGCAGATATAGGGGCCTGGCAGCAGCTATGGGTGAGGCCCGTAATCTGCCTGCACCCTATGTCAAAAAATTAAACACACTACAGCAGTGTGAAGAGACCTGAAAGTGGCACATGGCAGCAGAGTGTGGCGATGGAGACAGCAGCAATGGGAGGCCGTACAGGGACCCATGAGAGACTCTAGGACTTGGCAGCAGCATGAGGAGGCGGTATATAGGGGCCCATGGCAGATTAGGGGCCTGGCAGCAGCTATGTGAGGCCCGTAATCTGCCCTGCACCTATGTCAAAAAATTTAAACACACCAGCAGTCCCCCAGTGTGAAGAAGACCTGAAAGTGGCACATGG